CATGCAGAAGCATCTGTAAGGGGTAACTCAGGAAGCAATGTTTGGCTGTGAAATTCTTAATACTTTTTAGTAAGCAAGTCATTTTAGCATTTAAATATGTGGTTTACAACCTAGGATTTAGAGCGTAGATCTTACAGTGGGTGTTGGAGTCTAAAGTATAATTGGAGTCTGAAAATTGCTAGGTACCTACTAATACTGTCCTAGAACTACGCAACAGGTTTTCAGTTTCATTAGGGTATAGGGCCCCAGATTTTGGTTCGTACTTTAAGTTCTAGAGCTTAGGAATTTAAATGTAGAAGGTTTTGACCCTAGGATTTAGGGTGTAGAACTTGGTTGTTAGAGTGTAAAGTATAAGTTGGAGCTTGAAATTAGTAGGTCCATAATAATACTTTCCTGAACTTCATGACAGGTTTGCAGTTTGATTAGGGTACATAGCCCCAGATTGATTTATGTTGTTAGGTTAGTTTCAGTTCTAAAGCCGAACACATAGCCGGACTATTATTTTCTCAGGGTTTGGGGATAACTTTCTTTAAATCCAGGTGGTTTTTGGCCCAAAAACTGCCTCTGCCTTGAAAGTAGTCTTTGACCCTCTATTTCGGCCCGAAGAATCTTCTTTAAATCTAAGAGGTTTTATTAATCAAGAGCACGGATTTTCAAAAAACAAGCAACATGCAGAACGATTTCATGGATACTCCAAGCCCTTGACGTTCCAAAAGTGCTGGTGTGAAGTACGGACTACTGGAGAAGAACAAGTATCAGCAGAGAGACTGCTGCTGATCATGGGCTGGTTTTGCCCATTCCAAATGGACAGGATAATAAGTTATAGGGATGCCATTGTAGAACCTGGGAAATATGGATGTTTGGCATCTGAAGCAAACATTTCCGAATCCCAGTGTTGTTGATTTCTCAAAATTCCTTCCAGCGGCATATTTGCCGCTTGTTGGGGCTTCGACTCCTGCGGTCTTGAAAGCGTGCGTGTTGCCTTCGCTCAGCTTTGTTTTTCCTGGAATCGACTCGCGCAGCGTAAACAGACTTTCAGTCGCGTCACGATTCACGATCTTGACAGCTGCTATGCTCATCTGCTTTCGCCTGTCAGCTTGTCAGGTTGGTTGCCATCATCAACTGCTATTCTCTTGAGTATGTGCTCACAACGGCGCTTTATTGCGCTTCTGGACTTCCCTCCAGCCTTCCGGCGCTCTAGCTGGCCCCGGGATGTGTGCCTTCGTGATTTCGTGATTATTCGTGATTCGTTTGCGGCCACATCGGGTGCCCAATGATCATCTTCGTTCTGGGTATTATGGAGTACTAATGCCTGTCGCCGTAGCTTCACTCCGGGATGTGTCAACTGGTGGAAGCTCAAGCGAAATCGCGGAAGACATGGAGCATTGTATTCAAAACTGGACGCGTGGAAAGTCAAGAGTTGCGAGCATGATGTCCGTGTGCATGCCAGGCTCGCTGTTCCGATGCTGATCAAAGCATAATGGCATTGAGGGGACAGAGGAAGACTGAAAAAGACACTCAGGATTCCCATGTATGTCCACCGTTTTCGGAGCCCGAGGCCCCAGGCTGCCGAATACATTGACCTGACCCCGGGCTGCTCAGAGTTGACGTTGTTTTTGACGCGAGCCCTTGAGCTAAACTCACGCGCAAGAGCGAGGAATGCAGATAGCAATGCCCTCCCTAATTGCTATGAAGCAGATTTGGGCCAGCCTTTGGATGCACAAGTGTGTCGAAGCTTCTCGTGGTAGCAGGGTGCAGAAGCTCGGATATAGAACAAGGGAGGCCTTCCTCTTTTTTGGAGACTTTGTTGAAAACACATGAAGTCCGCATGTGCTTTCAGTGGCTCCCAAAATCTCAGAACAACTTCATGCCGGAAGGTCGAGGCCCTGGCTTGCCGCATTGGCAATCTGACGTGGCAGAAGCCTGGTGTGCCTCCACCAGATTTTTCTGCTCCCAGACGTTATTGGATGTTGCTGCGGAGACGGCCTGCATGTTCCTGGTAGTAGCTGCGTAGGTATTAGCTGCATACTCTCTTTGACCGGCTAAGGTTGTCACTGATGATGTTGGCCCATCAGTCAGGGCTGAGTTGTCCATTTTCACAAGGCCCTTGCATGTCTTGTTGTAGCAGGTTTATTGCTGGGCGGTAGGCATCCGCGGCAGTCTCAATCAGGCACGAGCCCGAAGGCGTGCACGAAAGCCGCTTGCGAGGGCCCAGGCGCAAAACAGCTACTGGGATAGATTATGCCGGTTCGTGGCGCTCTCGTTGCAGACTGGTGGGTCTGGCTTCGCAATGAGTTTTGCCTAGTCGAGCAATGTTGCTGGAAGTTCTGTTTCGACGGCTTCATATGCTTCAGCATTCCCAGGTTCCAGAAGCACGAAAAGACGGCTGCGAACTTCTGCGCGTTGCTTTTGCCAACGATGGCAGCAGCACTGCCTCTTGGACACCGTGATAGAACCAATTTTCTTGATTCGAAAGGAGTCAGCTCTTTCTTTTAGGAAGTGAGATCGAAGATTGCTGAGCTGGCAGTGACTGAATGGTCTGCGGTCGATCTTGTCGAAGAGGACGCTTAACCGTGTGGCATTTTCAGTTCGCAGCAGCAGAGCAATCGTGCTGCAGGATATCTCCGATACGGCTGAGCGTCGACTTCCAGAGTTCACCACGGCCACTCAGGCAGAGAAGTTCAAAGAGCAAGAGAAAAGTGCCCCTTGGCACAACCATTGTTGCTGCCAGAACTATTGTGTGAATGTACTTCGCTCAATTGTTAGTGCTGACAGAACTCAGTTTGAACATGATTCGCTCAAATGGATGTCTTTTTGGCTGGGGTACGGTAGTGCTGCAGATTACTGCCTTACAGGGCTTGAAGTGCGACAGAGGATAGTTAATTCAGGTAAGTCCGTTCTTCTGGCCAACTCAGCTGTATGAGTAAGGGAACGCCCTCATTTCTTGCCCTTGCATGCATGAACGCTTTGAGGAGGACGGTTGCATGTGTCAGTGCGTAAGGGGGGCCAGAGCAAGGTGGCCTCTCCTTGTCTCTGCTGAAGCACTGTCGAGGTGTCATCCCTTCGTGAGTGGATCTATGCAAAGAAGGAGCTGTTCCACTTGCCAGACAGATATTTTCCGTATAATTAGGTTCCCTCAAGTGATGAATGATGGCTGCGCGATTGGGAAGGAAGAGCAGCTGGAAAACTTCCAGCCTTCTGGACCCAGCTGGTCTCTTGCCGGACAAGCTATGGCCGTCCCGCGACTACCAGGCAGCCGCGGTCTAGCTAAGAAAGGCTAGTTTACAAAGGAAGGGCAATGATAAGGCTTCATACGCTTTCTTGTGGGGACATTGTTAAAACTAGAACTGATTCCACTTGTTCGTGCAGCGATACTGTTCGCATACGTGTGCCTCAAGGGTTGCCCGAGCTACTTGCTTTGGTATACCAAACTCGTTCGAAAACGTGCGAGAGACGGAACTTGCGTGCCAGGAGTGTGGTACGTTCACGAAAGACAGCAAGAAGGGGGCCGACCGCTTCCATGGCTGTTTTTCAATGCCTCGAGTGGGAAGTACTATCGCAGAGTCCATGGTGCCCCAGGACATCAGCTGTCTGTTTCAGTTGATTCTTTGTCTTTACCTTTTTTTTTCTCTCGGTTTGTGTGGAAGGATCTTGGGTGCAAGCGGGCACTCCTCACCACCCGCTTTCAGAGCCGATCACTATGCTGACCAGTGTTTTGTGCTTGCCTGCGGCAGCTCGGCACTCTTTGCCCGATGCTTTCTGGACCTTTCCGGCACGCAGGTATGCATAATGTTGATGGAGTTGGCAAGGGTAACTTCTGCTCAGGAAGGTGGTCGCAAGGATGATCTGGCCGTTGCACTTGTGGATCTACCACGCACCGCGCAAGCCCTCAAGCAGCCAGTGCCATTCATCGACAAGCCCGCCTCATTGTTTGTGCCTGACCTGCGAAGCAATTTCCTGCGGTTGCTTACAGGCGCTCTGACCATGTCTGCCCATATGAAAGTATGTACATATCTTGGCCAAGCTTCTGCTTTTTCTGGCTGCCATGCGCCGTGTTTAAGGTAATGATGGATGGCCTCAGGAGTTGCGCTGCAAACATCTGGCGGTAGACACTCTTTGTTCTCAGAAATCCGGTGCATGTGATGTAGCGGACTGGCTTTTGCGTGATAAGGTTGAGGTCAGGTGATTTTGCCATGTGATTCATATTCCAAACCATCATTACGCAACAATGCAAGCGTAGAGGCATAAAGCCCTGCCCGGTGTTGAAATAAGTGTTCAACCCTAAAGCTCTGGATATGGCGCAGTACTTCTTGCAACGCGCTTTTCCTTTTCCAGGTCAGAGAAGCGTATGAGATAGATGAGAGACGTTTTGAGCTCCTCACCATTCCGTGAGGAGCAGCTCTGCTGCTTCGGAGTTCTGCGCGAAGCGCTTCCACTCGCAGATCTTGCCAAGACTGAGCTGCAGGCGTGATGGATGCAGTTCATGGCAGTGGTGGCGACTGGAAAGCTGAGAAGCTGAGGTCAGATCCGCTAGAAGACCACGATTCCAGGTTGCATGCGGCGCCAGCAGAGTCATTTTACTTTTGCTCACCTATGCGCCACTGCGCAAGTGCAGAGCTACAAGCTGAACATAAGGAGCTCATTGCCATCCTGCAAGATAGCCTGGAATCCTTGGACCATGCCTCAGAGTATGATTTAGCCTGTTAAAGACTTGTTCTGTGGCAGAGGCCACTTGTGGCGGCTCAATGTTAGCTGCATGAGCGTCAGCACCAAGGACTTCGCCTTGCTGGAGAGCACGGCGCGCTTCAGTGGTTGTGGCCTGGCAGTGGTGCTTCTGCTGGGGCGCCGGCTTGTGGTTGCCTGGCTTTTGCAGCCTTGTTCTTGCTTTGGGCTCTGACCAGACGTAAACAAGTAAAATCACCGTTCCCGCAGCCCTTGGGACTAGCCTACGCAGGACGAACAGCACTTGGCCAGCTTCTGAAGCCGCAAAATCACGACCAACGTGCACCCCGCAAGCATTTTTCCCGGCGCATCCACGTTGCAACCATTACTTGTAACATTCACCCCTCAAGCATCCGTTTCCCCATCCAGGTCGCAAGCATAATGACATCCACTCGAGGAGGATCGGTTTCCCCGGTGCATCCATGTCGCAACCATAATAATGTCCCCTCGCAAGCATCCGTTCCCACAGCGCATCCATATCGAACCACAATAACATCTACCCGCAAGCATCCGTGTCCGCGCTGCATCCATGTCGGAACCAGAATAACATCCACTTGGCGAGCATCGGTTTCCCCGGTGCATACATGTCACAACCATAATATCGTCCGCTAGCCAGCATCCGTTTCCGAGGTGCATCCATGTCGCAACCATAATTACGTCCAGCTCTGTACCAACTTGCTTGGCCACACCAGTCAGCAGGCCTGGCATGTGCAGGTTTTGGAAGCTTGCAGCGGTGATCCTCGCACTCAGTGGATTGCAGCCAGCTGCGAAATGCCGTCCAAGAGAAAAAGTTGTTTCATGTTGTTTCCCACTTTCCCACGAACGACCACACTTTGGCTAAGATTTAGCTCCAAGCCAAGCCAATGCTGAAAGCCTGACGCTTGGAGCGCATGCCCTTTCTTTGGCGGGACATGGCTCGTGCGTTTACGTACCTTCCGACCGCTGTTTGGATTGCAGTCAGCCAGGAGTGAAACGGAAAAGACAGTTTTGGCGAAGGCTTTCGGTTCACAACCTGGGCTGGGAACCTGACTTTGTTGGCTGATTTGGCTGTAAGGTGGGCACTCTCGGTGATTGCCGGGTATTTCTCTGCTCGAGGGCATCTCCAGCAAAAGGCTCCAGGCAAGACACGTCACTGGATATCCCGGGTTTCCTGCAGTCCTTCAGAACCTGCAACAGGGGCTGGGATGCGAAACAACTCGCAAATGGTGAAGGCAGGCGTGTGAGTCAAACGTGGAGATCACCAGAAGTGACTTACTATACTTACAAGTTACAAGTGTGATGTGCAGATGCGCGCGCAGCTTCAGAGCGGCGCCTGTCGAATGCGTATGCGCCGCTGGAGCCGGGTCCCCATCACGTGGCATCGGCAAGTGCCGAGCTGCTTGCTTCTCGGTCACACTAAGCAGCCCAGGTTGGTTTCCACTTCGCTTTCGTGAAGCTTTTGGCACACCATGCACACTGCAAGATTTCTTGCCAGGCTGCACAGCCCAGTGACGTGGAGAGGCCGTCAAGCTCAGCTGTCTTGAAACAATGGACACTGTGCCACACGAATCTGGGAGAGTGGATTCATTCACTGTGGTTGAGGGCCGTGCATTCTTAAACCATACTGGCTTTGCTCGTACCGTGACAACTCGCAAAGCCAAATGTGGGCTATCCAACCAGCTTCTGCAAGCGTGGTGGCGTGGGTCAGTTTGGCCGAAATGCTTCGAGACCCTGCGCAAGCAGAAACTGTGATCTCTAATAGCCACGCCGCGCCCTTCTTCTACATTACTTCTATTACTTATATTACTTACCTAAATACGGCATCACAGTGTCATTGTATTTGAAGCCAAGTTTCAAGCTTTGCTTGCGTATGCACTTGTTGAAGGAGATTCACCACTCACGTGTTGCTGCAAGTAAAGCCAAGTAAGCAACGAACGAAAATGCTAGCTGCTACATATGTGGGAGCGCAAAGGAAATGAGCGTGGACAAAGTATCCTTGTGGCACTTCTTGTCCTGATCAGGACACTGCTACGAATCGGCAAGGCTGCTCATCCTTTTGCAGCACTAGGTATGTCAGCAGCCGCCATTCAGGCCTGGTGCCTTGAAACGGGTTCTTCAGCTTGTTTTCGCGGCGCCTTTGACTTCCACTCCGCCGCGTTAGATCTACTTCTTGAGCAACGATAGGTTGCCCAAGCGGCCCTGGGATCTGGCACGGCCAATGTGATTCAATGAGCATGCCCTTTCAAGGGATTTCCCCTCTGTTGTATGATGCCTCAAGCCTCAGTTCCACATCCTTGCTTTTTGACCCGGCAGGGTGGCGTCCCCAGTCTGCGGCAAGCTGTGGCCGACTGCGAGTCTGTTCTGACACCTCTGCTCTCCAACGAAGCTGACTTTGCATTTGGTCGTGGAAATCGGTCAGGTGTTGTCTAGCATTCTGTAAGCCTTGTTGCGCAACAAGCGTCATTTGCCGAGGAGAGTCTCCGTGATCGAGTGCAGCGTGCGCTGTCAAGAGCTTCTCTGATTGAACTTGGCTTGCCTTCCTTGTGCAGAGAGTCCCTGGCCCCCATTTTGTGCTGACTCAGCACATTGAGGTGCAAGAAGCAGCCGCTGAAGTCGAGTCTTTCATGGGTCTTCCAGCATGGTTTTCCTGTGGGGGCGGCGGAACTCAGCCTATCAGCGCAGATTTGCAAGGCATGGATGTCTACGTTACCCAAATCCTTGCGGAGTTGCACTACCTCATTGATGAGGAGGGTGGCATTCCGTCGCCAAAGCGCGCAGCCGCACTTCTAGGTGAGCCAGGTTTGTTGCAATTGTTGGACTGTGAAATCAGGCCTTTTCTGATTTCAGCTTCAGGTGTTGAGGCAGGCTGCGGAGAAGTGGCCGCACAAGCTGGCATTGACCGCCGGTACCGTGCACTGCTGACACAGCTGGCTGCAGTGAGTCCCTTGGCTGCAAGGGGTCCTAGGAGTATCCAACAGTGTCCTAGGGTCCTAAAGGCTTAGCGGCTAAGAGGGAGGACGATGAGCCAATCATGGGATGCCTGGCAGGTCCAAATCACTCGCGGCGTGCTTTCCGTGTACTCGCAGAGCTGGCAGATGCCGCAGCGCGTCCGCCAACCACATCGCTTTGGATTCCCAGCGGCGATCGATCAGCCACTCGTCTATACTGGCTTGAGGCTGATTTGCAGGACACCCGATTTCAGCAACCTTGGCATGCAAGGTCAGTGTATCAAGAGCTCTGGGCTTCCGCGATCTGAAGCGACAGAGGCATTTTGCCCCCTACCCACACCACACGTGTAATTAGACAATTGTGCAAGTAATTCGGAAGTCAGTTAGTGCCGCCTCTTGCTTTATTGCACGTTGCTGTTATAGTATTTTGTAGATTCCCAGCTCTACTCAATTACTGCGATTTGCATGGCACAGGCATGTGCATATAAAGAGGGTGTGGATTGTACGAGGGCGCCGCTTAACCATGCGCTTGCGTGCTGTGTCACTTGGCAGGCCGCTGGTCGGTCTGGAGCTTTCTGCGGAGATTGTGCGGTTGAAAGATGCTTGTCTTTGTACAAAGTTGAAAGGTTGTACATTGTTGTATGCGTAAGTTGACCAATTTTCCAGCTGGAAGTTGTGCTGGTGTTCAGAGTCCGGAGGATGGGCCGCAGTTCCTGACAATACTATCAGATGGCGCTCGTGGTCTCAGCCAGCAGCGCCTGGCACAGGTGGCAGCGGCACCTGGGACATGTAAGTTTAACAGATTCAGAGGTTGAGAGAAGAAGCGCTGTGACAATATTGCTGCTTCATTTCAGGTTCACTTTTGCCGACCGAAGGCCGCATCAATGCGCAGCTTGCCTACTGTAGAGAAAGCTGAAAGCGGCTACTTGGGTCTCCCTTTTAAGGCCCGTGCACGTCCCCAGCACCAGCAAGTCACTGGTTGAAGGGAGTCTGGGACACACTGGGCGTTATTTCCGCACCTGTCAGGCTCAGGGCAGCTGCCCCACAGTAGCCTTCGCAACCCCATGAACTGTGATGACGAGACAGCCGAGGTATTGCCTCGGATGCAGCCTCTTCGGCACCAGGAGAAGCAGTCGGCGTGCTCACTGTGGCATTGCAGGCAGCTGAATTGGATTGGTTTCCGTGGACAAGGAATTAATTGCATCGCCTGGAGGTTGGTGCCGAAACAGAAGGCACTGCTGCTGATGCCAAGGGACCTGAGGCAAAAAAGCGAAAGGCTCGGCGAAGTCGGCTATCATGACTCCATGTATGAAGCTGGTTTTACCTCCTCTTCGTGAGCAGGTGGAACATGTTACTCCCGGTGGCAAGCGCAAAGTTCGCGTTGCATCGTTGCTTCTAAAATATGCTGGAGCACCCTGTCCGCAGCAGGAGGTGGGGCATTTGTTAACGTTGGCTGCAAGGGTCAGTGCCGGGGCGCGGGGCTGGCAGTTTGGACAGGGATACCCATGAGCTTCCAATTTTCCACGATATCCTGTCTTCTTTTTGACGCCTCTCTTCTTGTAAGGTCAGTGAAGCTGATTCTTATGCGCGGCGCAAACCTCCCGCAAGTCGATCGCAGGTGATCTGATTTTCATTTGTATCCCTGACTTTCTCTTTGTACATGTGGCAGCATTCCCGCATTTTGACTCGCAACATATCACTCAGGCGGATGCAGAAAAAGAGCTTTTACAGGTGCGGGGCATACTCTCTTGAAGAACTTCTTTCAAAGATATGTAGATCTGTAGATACATACGTGACGCTCTTCGAAGCAGGTCCTTGAAGCTTTGAACCAGGATCCCAAGCCTGGAGAAGCCAAGGCCAGTGCAAACAAGCCCACACCTGCTGTCTCTCATGCCGCGCGTCTCACATTTTTAATTTTTTTGGGCTTCAAGGAGGCTTGGGCCAATGAGTCTTGCAATTCTGTGTGGCTTGCTGCATATGAGACCTGGAGGATCTTGGCCTCCGATTCGCAGCCAAATGCGAGAAGTTGTCTGTCGCTTGGCTTGGCAGGCAGGTACACCCCCTCATCTCATTTGTCTCCCGAGGCAACAGCAAGCAGAAGAGGGGTATGAAAGGTCAGTGGAAGATGATACGCCAGCATTTAGGGAAATTATGCAGGGAGATGTGCTGTTTGTTTGTTTTTGGATTCTGTGGTTCGGGAAGTCTTACTTCGTGGCCTTGTGGGCTCCTGGTGTTTCTTGGCTTCCCAGCTTCTTGGCCTGTCAGGCTCTTTTTTTCCATTATTAATGCTATTACTACTCTATTACTATTAATTGTACTATTATTACTAGTTGTACTAGTATTACCTTCATTACTGTTATTCCTATTATTACTACTATCACTCCTAGTTTTCTGGCTTTTCCATCCTCTCCGTTTCCAGGCTCCCTGGCTCCTCGTCTTCACCGGCTTTCGCCTTATTCTCAAGACTTCTCGAGTTTGCCGTCTTCATTCTGAGTTTTGACCCCTACCTTGTACTATGAATATTCATACTGTTCTTATCATCGCGAGTGCCGATTATTCTTGTTTCTATTGTCACTCTAGCTATTGCTGTCAGGGTGTACCTTTTATTTATATTATTTTGTGTTTTGTTTGTGTCTTCTGTGGCTGGGGTATTGCTACTGATTTGACTTTCTTTTTTGGGCCGCGGGCTGGCTGTCTGTCCCCTGGGCTGGCTTCCCAGCCCCTTGGCTTGGCGACTTTGGCTTCCCGGTTCTTTCTTTCGTGAGGAGCGTCCTTGCCTTTCATTCGCAATTTACTGGCTGAATCATGGCTCTTTCTCGAGCTTGGCATATTGCACAACATATATGTAATTTCCAGCGTGAACATGACATCGCATACATAAGGCTAAGCTCGCCAGCTTTCAGACAGGGCGACGCCTGAGATTGAAGACTTCTGGGGTATTTGAGGGGGAGCCGCAAGTTTCATGCAATCCTATCGGGGACAGCATTCTGCCAGAAGTGGCTTGGGGTTTCCGCTTCTTCCATTTCTTCAATGCCTTCCGTCAAGTTAAGCTCTTCATGCAAGTGCTTATGGTTTTCCTATGTTTGTTGCCGACGTCTTGCACATAAATCCTGTGGAAGCTTTGCTAAAAAGTTGGCGTGCAGTGCAGCCTTGTGCATTGCCGAGGACTGCAAGTCAGCGACTAACAAGCCTCATGCAGATCTTGGCTGGGTCCTGGAAGGCTGGGAGAAGGATGTGTGCCAGTTGAGAACCTGCGGCTGGAGCGGAAGGTCAGTTTGGCAAGGACTTCGATGCGGTGGCCTTCGATTTGGACGTGTTGTTCTTACACTGGAATTGCTTTAGTCAGGTAGTGTCCCTGCAGAATTCTCAGACTCTTGGCATGAGACAGCCCAGGTTGGTGGGTTGAGCGACATTTTCACGACGACAAGAGGGGTCCAAATCATGTACAGACTCGCGTGATGCGCTTTTCGAAAGTCTTGTGTTTGCAGGCTTGTGCATCTTGTAGCACTGCAGCTTTCATGGCTCAGCATGGCTGGACTGTTTTCGCTTATTCTTCTTTTTTTGAGAGAGAGGTCTCTTGATAATTTCTGACAGGGGGAATGGTCTGGAGTCTGCTAGGACAACAAAAGCATCACACACGGAAGAGTGTTCCATTTAGCCGAGCCGACAACTGCAACACAGCCAAGAGGGACCCTTATTGAAGGAAGTCCAAGATTATAGGCCTCCAGCCACGGTTCATTGCAGTTGCGTGTTGAATTTCTGTTTCCATGAAGGAGTACAACGGTCTTCTTGCCTTTGCCTATGCAAAGCGAGCGCAGGTCCGATCAAGAACCGTCGGTGTCATTTCTTTGCAACTTCGTCTCATGCGCATGGCCAATCAGCTGGAGATTCTCATGCAACTTAACAAAGGGAAAGAGTGAGAGAGAGAAGAAGAATAATGAGAAGAAGAGGAGGAGGAAGAGATGTGCTTTGGTGACGACGTACGTCGACCGCGTATGTTGTTTCTTTTCCTTTCATTTGTTGACGCTCTTGCTCCATGGTCCTCCAGACAGGCACGCTGGTGGCCTGACTAATGATGCCACATATGGGGGGTTTCAGGTGAGAGGGAACCCTTGATTGTTCAACTCATCCTGTTTAGCATATTGTTTGTGCGCTAGCTCGTCAACGTTGGGACGCTAACATGGCGAAGAACCCTCGTTTCTCACTGAAATTACTCGATCCGACTCGTTGAGGGGGGGCTGCATGGCTGGCGCTACGGCGTCTTCCCCCTGAAGCAGAGCAAAAGCAAAAGACCCATGTACTTGTTCGGGAATAGGGCCGTTCATAGGCCCTCTTACCTAAGTGGAATGGATGCCAGCTTGAGGCATTGCTGTTTCTGGGTAGATTGGCGTGGGTTGCTGGCAGCGAGCTTAGCATGACACTGATATGCTGAGCATGCCCGTGGTTCAGTCGCCTTACGAAGCAATATGGCCCTGCAAGTGGCAAACAAAGAACGGAGGTGCACCGTGGACTACGGGAGCTTACACAAAATCCGGATGATACACATGTCTCAAAGTCCTGGAAGTTTTGCGAATACTCTTTCGGCATGGCGGCGCTATTCTGGGAAGAGGAGGGCACGCCACGCACGGGCACACTGGCTCACAGGCGCCGGGCTCACGGCCACGCCACGGGCACCCGAGCACACGGGCTTGTGGGCACATGGGCTCACGGGCACACGGGTCCACTCCACAGGAACCTCACGAGCACGCCATGGGCTCAGCCCCAGAAGCCACGACAGCAAACCAAAGGGGCCAATTATTTTTTGTTGGATTGCTTAGTACAGGCAGGCAGGCCTTGCTGGAACACTGACTTTGAGGAAGTAGACCAGGCGAGAGGATTCAAGAACATTGTGTTTTGTTGCATTAAAACAAAAGAAAGAGAGAGAGAGAGAGAGAGAGAGAGCAAAAGCTGGCCACGTGGAAGCACGAGGAGTGGACCAACCTAACAGCCCAACACGGGCTGGGCATTGAAGCCCGGGGGGGGGCAACCGCCCTCTCCCATAGCCTGAACGAAAGAAAGAAAGAGAGAGAGAGAGAGCGAGTCAGTCTTGATGAAATCAGTAGTACATTGTGCAGGTCCTTCTTTGTGAGCACTGGGCCCGGGAGTTTCCGGACGTGCGGACCGTAAGTTGCCATACAGGAGCCTTGGTAAACATACATTATCTTGCCTTGTACAGAGAAACTGCAGCGGTGAGTGATGCCAAATCTGCCATGCCGAGGCCTCTTTGTCGCTTGCTGTTTTCAAGCTTGGCGATGCCTTCGAGTCTTGCTTGGACTAAGGATGGGTTGAAGACAAGCTGGCGCAAGAAATGTACGGAGATAGCTGCCCGGTTGCTGATTTAGAAACATGACTGGGCTCTGCAGCCTGTGTGGTTTAGAGCCCTGTGCTTCAATTGTCCAAATCTCCAGTGTTTCTGAGATGCCGTGCTGATGGAACCGATGCGGGATGCGTGGTCTGGAGCCGAGGCTCCTCAGCTGAGTTTGATGTCTCCAAACATGAGTGAGCTCGGGCGCATGTCCGTTGGTGATGTTGGTGCAAGCGCGAGTGCAGCAGAGCATGGCCCCCTCTGAAGTGGCACGTAGCGTGAAGTCAGCTTAAAGACACGTCAATATTTGGCTGGTATCCACGTAGCTCAATAGCATAGTGTTATTGGCTCGAAGTGCAATTGTAAATGACATGCGATAGCCATCGATAGCATAAACATCCGACTAGTGCAATTGTCCGAAGTCAAGCGAGTTTTTGGACATCTTCCTTACCGCGCCCCCAACAATTAGAAAGGGCCTCATTTGTGAGGAGCCTTCTTGCTGGCAGACATTTTTGGGGGAAAGGCCCGGGGTTTTATTTCAACAAAAAATTGTCCACGCCCAGCACCTCTTGGAGCCAATGCTTGGCTCCTTCGGGGAAAGATTTGCGGCTTCCAGATTCAACAGTAATCTGAAGGACAACTTGAAGCAACCGCTTCTCCACAAAGCACAAATTAAATCAGAGAGAGCATGACCGAAGCATGCAGTGAGGCCCACATTGGCTCCAATAATTATTCACGTGTGAGCATTACCCAAAGCGCATTCCATCACTACAACAACAAAGAAGACCGACAATGACTTTGAATCAGCAGCAGCAGGAGGAGGAGGAGTACCAACAGCAGGAGCAGGAGGGGGAGGAAGACGGAGACGACGTCGGGGAAGAAGAAGCAGCAGAAGAAGAAGAAAAAGCAGTAGCTGCAGCAGCAGATGCAGACAATAAAGGGTTGACGCCAGGCGATGCGTAAAAACAACAACAACCTTGTTCATTGAGTGCATTCATTTGAAAGCTTGTGCGCCCTATCCATGCCCAACTGTTCACTACTCAGTGGTGGTCAGAAAGCGCCGGGAGTACTAATCAATCAAGCCGCAGTCCATACCACACAACAGAATCGCGGAAAGGCGAACATGTGGACAGTTGTTGCAGTGCTGCAAAGCCTTTGCACAGGGCATTGCGTGGCTGTGCACAACGGCGCCCCGCAATATTCTCTCAGGCAAGGTCCCATCAGCTTTGCAACTACCTGCATGTCGCCGGGGCAGTATAAGCAGTGGATTGTGAGCTTGCAAGCATTTGGGCTACTGGCAGGCGCCTTCTACTTGGACAAGGAACCGCAAAGCAAGCACCTTGCAGGTGCCCAGACTGATGTCATTGTTGGATTAACATGCTGGCTTGGCCTGTCCCGAGCTTCTGAACGCTGGAAGCCGTTGCATTGTAGGTTCCTTCTTTGCGGAAGGTGTCGCAACGCAGAACAGCTGGGTCCTTATCAGCTGCATCCAATCATGTGCACAGGGCAGCATCTGGAAGTTTGTCGACAGCTCAGGCAGCACCGACCTGCACCTTCTCCTTGTCTGCTTGCAGGACCTGCAAGACATGAAAGGAGCAATAAAGAGCTGCAGACTTCAACTAAGCAATCTTGAGTTCAATCGCGGGCAGCAAGATGCAGGTACTGCGCAGTCCTGACTGGCCTTGAGACTCACCGGGCAAATCAGCGTGACATGCAGCTGCTGAATGTTTAGAGGAGTGGAGCCATGGCCAGCGAGTGGCAGCGGCGTCTCTTGACCCATCAGCTTTTCCAACTGACAATTTGAAGGGCTTCAAACTTCATCGCTCCGATTCATCAATTTCAACTGTCAAGCTCGTCGTTTTTTTTGCAAAGCGGATTCGGATCCAGAGTGTTGTTACAAGTTCGGTTCGTCGTCGACATAAGGCAACGGGAGCTTAATAGCAGCTTCCCTCCGCTCCAAGATGCAGCCATTACTGCGCCTTAGCTTAACTGGCAGCTAGGACGCTGTGTCGGGTTTCACAGCATAGTGACTTCGAAGTCCCCATTGCGACCCCCCCGCTACTTGCCCATTTTGCGCTACTTACTTTACTACGCAAGTGCGCCATCTCCATTTTTGCTCCATTCGCCCCACTTGCCATCTGACCCCACGACACATCTTTCAGATGTCTTCTTTGAGGACTTCGTGAGAGATTGGCATGCAGGCTTAGGCCGTTCTCCATGTTTTCATGGGATGAACCTTTTCATTAAGGTGCCTTGGGCTTTACTTTTTCAAGATGAGCAGGCTAGATCTGGGGCAAACACTGGGGCAAATGGGGCGCAAGTGGCTGGGCAAGTCTTGCGGGCGGGCAAGTATGTAGAGCAAATGGAGCGCAGCTTTCGAGCCCCCCCAATGCCGCCACTCTGTCCGTCGCGAGGGGCTTCTTCAGTTGTTACGTTTCCAATCCAAGGATGGTTCCCGATTCCAGTTGAACAAGTTCATGGGCGTTTGGTATGTGATTTGGCACATCCCCAATAGTTTTGAGGAGCTGCTGGAAAGCGTCGCCCTGTGAAGCTTCCAACGTGCCTTTGATGTGTGCGGAACATGCGAGGAGGCTAGCTCCAACATTGTCAGAGACTACCGTCTGGACGCTTCAGAGTCTTTCATCTGCAATTGCTTTGCGATAAAACATCGTGTTGGTTGTCAGCTGCCATGTTCCCGCGAATCGCTGCCAGGTCAATGGTCATGGCCCGCTACATAAGCCGCCAGGGCGAGCGACGAATAATACGCGAGGAGCTGTCAAAGCTGCCCACTTTGGCCATGTGGTTGCGGACGCTTGCACGGTGTTTCTACGTGGCAGGAGCACTTGGCAGTACTGGGGGTCATGCGCTCGGAGCTACAATGGCAGCCTCAACTTGGGACCAGTTCAAGCATGAACCTTGGCTTCTTAGCTGAGGCATGAAAACGCCGAAGTAACAATCATGAGCATTGGCTTGAAGGGGTTGACGAAGCGGGGGAATCCTTGTGGCCATTTTGGGGCAAGGTAAGAGAAATTTGATCCGAGAGGCGTGCAATGCCTCAAGTGTAGCCGAGCATGTTCAGCTGTGAGCCAAGACTGCTCCGATATGTGGTTCTGTA